CCCCAAAACCCCAAAACCCCAAAACCCCAAAACCCCGAGATTCAAAAATAAGTGGGGATTGTTTGAAAGCTTAAATTATATTTTTAGTTTTATACAGAGAAATGATGGAATAATAGTAGCAGAGATAGGAGGATCAATAAATTTTTGGTTTACTCTAGATTTAAGACACTATCGGCACATCTGTTTCTAACCATAACAGCTTCAATAACACGATGGACCACAAAAATCTAAATGAGTTCCATCACTTTATGAACGGAGAGGGATCGAAATCAAGGCAAGTAGACTCAGTTCTGCGAAGTCTAGTGAGTGAAGTCGAAGATTAGAGGCGATAATTTGATAAAAAATGGTAGATGATGATGAATTATCTGATGAGGAAAAATGAAGAGCAAGAGCATCTCATTAGAAAGTTAAAGTCAAGACTATAACAGTATGAAAATGTAGCACTTACTCAGGAAGATGATAAATCAATATCTGAGATGCAGTAGTACAATTCAAAAAGATTAAGCGATCCTAACAGTTTTCGATCTCATTTAAAATAACCCACCACAATTATTACAACACTAGGTGGTAATAATGTAAATCTTCTGAAATCAATCAACGAAACGATAAATGAAGACAATTCCAGGCTTAATGAAGCATAAGAAAACGAAGCATAGAACTTTGACTAATTATAGCAGCTATTCCAGTCAAGAACAGACAGGAATTAGAGATTTTACTCGCTGGGAAATAATCATAAAAAGTTATCCACATTCAGAAAAGGCCAGGATCCTAAAGACAATCAGCCATCAACTGGCCATTTAATGATATCCAAGCATTCAATTCATCCAGTCATCAAGACTCCCAATGCCAAATTGAGTGAAAGATCAAATCAATAATAGCAACAACAATTGTCTAATCAATAAAACAATGAAAACTTAAGTCAAAATGAGTAAATGCAAATTGCCTTTATTAATCAATTGAAGTAACAATTAGTAAACTGCTAAAAAATCATTATGAAAGACAAAGAAGACAAAGTCAAATTGATACATAAACTTAGAGAAATGAAGTAGCAAATAGAGTAATTATCAAAGAATCAGATCGCATCACCAAGGGTGTAAAAAGAACTGCCGAGCTATTAAAATGCAAAAGTATAAACAGAAACAATAGAGTAAAATACAGAAAACTTATACGAATCAATCTAATAATAATAAATACATCAAATGCATCAAATTTTACCAGATAAAATGAAGCAAGAGGACTAGATATCTGTAGGCATTAATACTTCGATTACTGAACAAGATGAAATAAACATCAATAATGAAAGCATAGCACTTCAGATGCTCTAGACTCATCATCCGAAGGTTATGTATGATGAATTTGAAGAGTAGCGACTCAAAGACAATATTGCTTTCTGGAAAGAAAAGTGTGATATATTGCTTTTAGAGAAGAAAGAATTCTTACATGACTAGATGACGTAGCATAAGCTTATTAGAAACTATGAGTAATAGATTGAGGAATTTAAATAACTTCTGAAGTAGAGAGACCAGTTGATAGAAGTCTATTAGATTGAGAAGAAGCTAGTATCTGGAAGGGTATCTGTTAGCCACCCTATGTACTAAAAGCCACTGAATGAACAGAATAACAATGTTTAGTTTATTGAAAACATGGATGATGATAAGCAGAACTTGCACTTCTAGCGTTCTTATTTAGATGGGAATATAAACAATATGAAAGAATCAATGCTCTCAGATATTCGCTTGGAAAATCAGGACAAGCAGACTATCAGAATAATTAATTAAAATCCAGGTCTCCCTCATGAGAGCTGGATTTAGACAGCATCATACTCAGATGTGTCGAATGAATACCATGTCATGAGCAGCAATAATAATAGCAATGAGCAGAAGGATTTTCATAGATACCCAATAGAAACTTAGATTCACCAATTCTTGAATAACATTACCTCTGCTGATAAGATAAATCATCAAAAACCTACAACTACTCATCAGTTTCACAGTATCGGGGGAACATCATAAAAGCGAAAGCAGACTCCTAAGAAAACTGAACCTCGCTTAAGATATCAAAATAGCAATAATACTGTCACAAAGCATCTATTGCAAGGTTCTAATGATAAATATTAATAGCAACAGCAACCTTTCATAGATCAGTCTGCACTCTCAAAGTCAAAGAACTTCGATATTATCAATAGATCAAGTCTGAATCAGATACACTCTAAATTCAATAAATAACAGCACCAGCACCATGCTATAGTAAGTAATACTGTCCAGCCTATTTCAGTAAAGTAACATTCTTTTCAGCCAGTGAGAGAAAATGCTTACAATTAGAGTCAGAGTGGCAATAATCACTTGAGATAAACATCAAATAACCAACCAGCTAGTAATCTAAGATCTCGAGAGTAGTCACACAATGAGGCAGTCAAATTGATTGCTGTCTCTCAGCATGGAAGCGACACTTAACTTACCTTGAACAATTAAGCTCCTCATGGCAGCTCCAGAAATGCAATTGCTAATACTAATAGCAATTCAAGCGTTCTCTCAAAAGCAAGCACTAGCATCTATAAGAGCACTTAAGCATTGGCTCTATCAGGATCATAACCTTCAAAGAAGTAATAACGTAAAGTCACATAGTCTGGAAGCAAATCAAGAACTCAGTCAAATAGCAATAAAAAGGTTGCGAAGGTAAATTCTTTTAGCAGTAAAGGAGGAAACAACGGTAGAAATCTGACAGCAGCTAATCTTGGACTCATAACCAATAATAATAAAAACGACAAAGTGCAATTGATTGAAGCCAATCAGAATATGAATCTAATTGAAACCATAATAAAGACCATTAGTTCCTAGCATAATCAGACTATAGTCGAAGTACTTGAAAGAATCAATCCAAATGATGTCAATGAAGAGATGTATTCAGCTGAGACTTCTGAGAGATACGATCACGACTAATCGATTTCAACAGATCAGTACTCATCTCCTATGACTCATGCCAAGAACATCTTAAATGCCTATAAGCTGCAGTAACCAACTGCAATATCCACTTCCAAAATACTAAACGCAACTTCCTAGCTATCTATGGTGCCAAGCAAAGCATCATTCCTTAGAAACAAGAATAATCTTCAAAATATCAATGAAAATCATGAGACAATGCAGAGTTTTATTCAGCCACCCACATAAATTCATAGCAGGTAGGGAGCCAGTAGTTCTATAAGCAGAGAAAAAGGTAATAACTCAGCCATTCTCTAGGGAAAGTCTAATTCAAGTCTATAAACTGGAGCTAAGCATAACTACCGCTCAACTGTCTAAACTAGCTTTGCTGAGTCAAGTGTGGACAGTAAAACCATTAAGCTAAAGAATACAAGCACAGCCAAGTAACTAAGATAGAATTTCTAGAAAATTATGGGTAGTGCCACGCCAAACGAAGAAAGCAAAATCCTTAAATCACAATTAGACTAGGACTCAAGATTGTTTTAGATGCATTTAGACAATCAAAACTAATATGTATTACAATCTTAGCCAAATCATTAACAAAACTTGTAATAGCAATAGTTCAGTATGACTTCTAATAGCTAAATTTTATCACTTAACAATAGCAATACAAATAGTCATATGATAATGAGTAACACTCAGCCAAATATTCTACTTTCAACTAATAAATCTAGCATGCTGAGTCCAGGGCCATAGACCTAGATTTCAAATACAAACCTTACTTTTACGAACATTTATGGTTCACAGAATTGAAGCATTAGATTAACACTGTTTATTATCTTAACTATACCTACTTTGAATTGTTTTCATAATACAATTTAAGGGGTTTTGGGGTTTTGGGGTTTTGGGGTTTTGGGG